ATGTGGCAGACAGGACCGACACTGAATGTCATTATCTCACTGAAGGGTGTCATTGTGGCTGCTTCACTGCATATTCAAGTGCTCCACTTTTCTCCAGTCTCTAGTTATCATTCCGCAGCCGTTTAGCTGTGAGGAGTACCGTATGAAGAGTTAATCTCACAGTCTGAGTCTGCCTCTTCTAATCCATTGTTTCCCCAGTGACAGCATAACTAGCACTGTGGCAAAAATAACCAGTCAGTGTTTGGCAGCTGCACAATTAGTGTGTAAAAGCACTTAGCTGCTCAGCGCTTGAAAACAACTAGATTCAGAGAGCTTGTGAAAATGCAGATAGAGTTATTGTTTAAGAAGGAACTTGAGCACACAAATGTTCATTATTGATAAAACTGGTGGTGCAGTACATACAAGAGTCCAAACCAGTTATGAGTTATGAAATGAAATGTTAATGTTAAAATACTCCAGTAGCACCAAGCTAATGAAAACCATTAAATAGTTACCACTGTTTATGAAATCATTTTTAATCTAAATTGATTTTTTTTTATTTATTTTATTTATCATATTGTACATTGTTGGTGACACACTATGCCACCTGGGTTTAGGGTTTTACACATTGTGTGCACGCCTAGAATCACTCTTTAACTTCGATAAAAGCACTCAGGCTCTCTTGGTGTATTACTTTAAAATGCCAGCACTGCTGTCTCTATGTGAGATCAGACAAACCCACAGGCGACCTTTATCCTGAGTAGTTTGTTCTTACTTGAGAAGTGCTGGAAGACTGTGGCTCTTTCTCCATAAAACAAAACATGAAGCGAACTGGGCCTGTTTTGTGTTTACAATGTATAAATCAATCGGACCACATATCGAACCACAAACAAAAAATACTCAAACCATCTTGAGAAGTGGTGTCAAGGTGGTTTGAGTATGTTTTGTTTTTGGGACCATGTAAAGGTGTCTTAGTTTGTTTGGCATATTCACATATTCAGAGAAACAGTTGGAATCTGCTCAAACAGTCCAAGTGTGAAGACATTTAAAACAATTTATGTTGTCAGTGTGTTTCTACAGTAAAGTCACTATATAACTTTAGAATGGACACAAATAAAGCATACATATAGCAAAACAGAACTTTTTCAGTAAAGTTATTAATTTGCTGGTTGGAAGAATAAAGTTCCTAATTTCCTGCTTCACTCCAGCCATCGCATGTATTTGTTAAATTCCGTCAGCAGCTGAATTTGATTTAATTTAATATTGCACTACGTAAGATTTGGGGATTTGAACTTGAAGCTTGAAGATGCATGCAACGTGCGGAACAACATTATGTGACATCACTTCCTTGCTTCCCTGAGCAGTGGAATTTGAGTGTGTTGAAGGAATATTCAAAGAGAACTCAGTCAAAACTTGGTGAAGAATGTGTCGTTTGAGGATGAATTATCCACTGTTGTCATCATATTTTTATCAGTATGATGTTGATTTTGCATTTGAGCCTGTGCATGTGATGTTAATACATGAAGACATATGACGTGGTCTGTAAAACGGCCGCAAAAAAAAGACACCTCTGATTTTTAGATTATTATGCTAGGCTTTACAGCACACGTGTACCATAAGTTAGTGTGTTTTTTCTCCTGACACAGTAATACTACTTCCTTCAATTTTAACAATAAAAATCTTACATAGTGCAGTTCTAATGGACGATTAATTAGCTGAAGTATATATATAGGATGGTAACTGTAAATACTGGGCTTCATCCAGGAGACAAGTACTGTATATAAAAACACTGTGTGGCAAAAAATGCTTATAAATAATTGAATCCATCAAGCATATATCAGGTATATATTTTTTAAATTGAGTACTTGAGTTTAATCTGAGTTTAATGAGCAACTGTAACAGCCCCACTTACAACATAATCATAACAACACTGCAGTGAGGATTTCCTCTCATTTATGACGCATTAGCAGCAGAGCAAATCTAAGCATGATAAATGACCTCTGCCTACTGGTAGCGTCCAGCCTGGAGCACACTGCTTATTCCACACTCTGCTTCTGCAGACCAACAAATACCCTGCTAATAACTGCTGATAAAACGCTGCAGAGAGAAGTCAGTTCAACAGCAGTGCAGTCATGCCGTAGAATAAACCACCATTTAGCGGATGAATAATGCATTGTTGAGGAAGAGGAGTTGAGGCACTATCTAGGTCCACAATGGGCTCACATCTGTCTAAGGCCGGTGTCTGTGCCTGTAAAGGAACTGTTAAAAGGTTTTTCTGTACAGTGCACCAAATGTATTCCCTTAACACATGCGTTTGCATTGCTTTCTTCTAAACCTGCATAATGTACGCTTTCCATGCAGTGCATACATACGGCTTGCTTAAAGATATATGAAATATTCATTTCTAAAAGCTGTGGCAGGATGATGGGAGAATGTGACTTATGTTGTCTGCAACCGTCAGCAACTTTTCAACCACTGGGATATTCTCAGTGGGGCTGCTTTTCTCCTACATTGATTTTTGACCATCATAACATATATTTCCTCCCTTTTCTCCCAGTAAGCTCTCCATTGATTTTCTCGTTGGATGGGAGGCCTCTGTAGATGCAGTACTTATGCCAGTCATCTTCAGCATATAATGGTCCCAGTACTATGAAGGATTACATCATAGAGGAGCATTATTACCACTGCGCTATAGGGTTATGATTCGGTCTCTGCATTATGTATTCAGGTGCTAAGGCTCAACCTCATTGTCATGGAGAGCAAATAACTAGATGACAGAGGGGTCTTTGTTGTAAATAATTGTGAATTTTCTTGGAGATGCCATGTCTCTGGATTAATGGAGCACACTGAGCATTTTCCATTGTACACTAAATTTCAGCCCTTGAAATCCTAGGTTTCTTATTGCTTATTATGCAGTAACTACAGGGACTTCAGTGCAAACTGGTTGAGCTTTTGGCTGTGCTGAGGTTATAGAAGTGTGTAATAAAACTTTGGGCCCTGGCCATTTCAGGGGTTAAGGGGACCCCCAGTTAAATCATTTTTTAACTATTTAAACATGTGACTGTAGCTGGGTGGCTGGGTTTTACCATCTGGTGCAGCAGCAGTAAAAGATTTATAATGGAAGACACTTTGCAGCAGTCTCTTCCTTTTCTCTCGTTCTCTCTCTCCTCGCCTTACATTTTCAGTCCCCCATTTCTTACTATCTAACGTTAGAGTCTAGGTCAGTTATTGCTGCTATGTAGAGCTAATAGACTGCAGAATCCTGAGAATAAATTGGTCATTAAGGTAGAGAATAGAATACCGTTCAATGCAATACAATCTTATTGTCCATCAGCATTGGCAGTTTGTCTTTGTTCTCCCTCTATCACAGTACAATATAAAACAGGTACAAGAATTCTCAGCAAACAACATATAAAACACCAATCCTTACATGCCAAAAAAAGAAGAATGAGTCAGGAAGCCAATGGCAGTGGGAATAAAAGATTTCTTTTAAAGGGTCTTCTTAGTACTGGAGATCCTAAAATATTGTCTTGACTGTAACAACACAAACTCGTGTTTATTAAAATCACACATACCAGCCATTCTAATGATCCTGCCTTTTGAACTTACCTTTATCTCGGGAGGTTAAGCTCCCAACACAAGCTCAAGTATTGAAAACAAGAATATTTCCCACTAAGCTATTTCAGGTATATTTTTACAAGCCTTTGATCTCCCTATTTAAAACAAACTCTGATTAGCTGGCTCGAGTTAATAATGTAAACTTAACTTAAAAGTTCCAAGATACTTAAAACACTTGACAGTTTGCACAGGTTGATCAGTAAGAACAAGTGTTGATATGGGCTCTGTTTGTTTTCTCAAACCTAGCCCTGCACCAACTTTAACTTCAGTTTTAATTCAAAAAGTTAATAATCTGGCTGCCTTAAAATGTTACTTTTATTGTTCTTTAAATAATAAGTTAACAGAATATAACTGTTAAATTACTGATTATTATTATTATCATATTATCATATTTCTCATGTAAAAATCCATAGACTCCCTCCTTTCCACATGGGTTGTATGAGTTATAAAAGCTGTATGGCAATTAAGCTATTGCTCAGAACGTTGACCTTTATGGCATGCATACATTCATATCCGAATGCTTGAGCACCCCTTATCACCTTGCATGTTTAGCAAATTTGAAAATAAAATTTGTGCCATATGCGCCAAATATGTGCCATCTTTTTGTTTTATTTTTCCCAGTAGATTAAATTCAGTCAGTACACACGAAGTGTACTCATTTTCAAAAAACGTTCAAGAAAAAAACATAATTTACCCAGGAGTGCCAAAACTTTTGCATACAACTGCAATCAGAGTCCATTTGATTCTCTAAATCTGAAATCATTCACTCTATTCTACAATGAATTCCACAGTGAAAAGTATGTTCATACTACATGTTTTGTCCGTGACCTGAGCACATCACATTTCCTCCTTGTGCTGGCCAACAGGACTGGACAAGCATTAGTATGCAGTGTGGTTTCTCTGGCTTGCTTTGCATGCCTGTTTATAGTTGCTGTGGTCTTCCAATCAAGGTAGGATACTTTAGTCATGACATGCCGGATCAGGACGGCATGAAAACCTGTGTCAGGAGAATTGGAACACTATTTCTATTGATCAGAGCAAGGAGGTGAAATATCATCTCGGTTACCTTCAAGTGCATAATGCTGCTCTGCAGGTGAGGAGAGCACAGGCTGCTTTTCTTGCTAAAAAGTTCTTGCAATTTTCATACTGATATATGCAAATATATCAATACCTGAATTATTTATAAAGCTCCCTGAGGCTGGGGCTTAAAATCCATAAACAAACAGTAACCAGGCAGGCCTGTTCAGCTTCAGTGCTGGTAAATCACAGTCTTTGACGGCTGGCATTTCTATGAGCTACAGTAATTCATTCCTAAGGTTGCAGTTATGGCTATAGTCTCTGTTATATGCATAATCCCTTTTTGCCTTGAGCTCCCTGAGTGCTGTCTCTCTCTCTCTCTGCAGGCATTTGGCCAGGCGTACTCTAACCAGCGTAAAGTGGCAGAGCATGGTGAGACGAATGAGGAGACGCTGCTGCAGGAATCCGCCTCTAAAGAAGCGTACTACGTGAACCGTCTGCTGGAGCTGCAGACAGAGCTCAAACTGAGCCGCTCTGTGGCCTCTAATGCGCAGGCTGAGAGCGAACGCCTCAACGCACTGCTCCAGGAGCTAAAAGAGGTCAGTTCCACACCCACAATCAGAATCAGATGTATTTTATGCATAGAAAGAACTTGTCTTGATGAGTGCACACATGCAACATGTAACTTACTATATAGACTATGCCAGCAGTTCTCCAACTTTTTAGTCTACAGCCCTCTTTGTGGATAATAAGTGCTACTGAAATCCTCAAAGACAACAAAAAAATAAACCTCCAGATGTCTGGATCCCCTGGACGGTTGTAATAAGAATTGCTTCCAGCCAGCAACAACAGCACATCTTCTTCCGTTCCAATAACTCTGCTACAGACTGTCTACAGTAACCACACTCCTTATCACTTCAATATAAAGGGGCAGCTAAAACACTGTAGACTTATTAATCATATGTAAATGTATTCATGGTTGTGACATCACAACTATAATGAGTTCAGAACAGGCTTAGTTTAAAATAAAGGTGTAAATATGCTTGTGCAAGGTCTAAGAAGACATGATATAGTATTTTTTGCAGTGCGTTGCAGTGTGATATAGACATTTTGTTTAATGATGCATTGCTACATTTTGTGCAGAGTGGTCCTGGATAAACAGCACCCCTGGATTGTTAAAATGTTGATGGTCTGCAATTCTGTGTGCACACATATACAGTACAGACATTACTTATCATATGGTTTTGTATGAAGGTATGCTTTTAGGTCAGGGAGTCAGGGCTATACCAGGGTCATCCAGAGTGCATCCATGTGTGTGTGGGTGTTCATGTCAGCAGTCATCAGAGGCAGGGGGTGGTGTCGGGGTCAGAGACTGTCGCCATGGTTCATTGTAGCAGGCAAATCCATTGCTAAGCTGGGGAATAAGAGGAATGGCCTGAGGTCGGCATAAAGACACTGCACACCCACACACACACATATACACACCCACACCAACACCTTTTAGGCCTGTTAACACCAAGGGCACACACCTCTCAGATAGCTAGAATGCTTTAATGTACATATAAAACATACATGTACTCAGATGCTGCCAAATACCTTCTCATTCATGAAATAATGATAATCTGAACAGTCTGTGTTTGGAATGCATCTCATAAGGTATACAGTAATGTGCAAATGTCAGAGACTCTTTCTTAATTCAATCCCCAGAAATATATCAAGTGCTATTAAGTCTATTACTATTGTTATGATTTTTTCAGGAGATATTTCTGAGGAGATTAAATATAAGATAATCCACTCTAATAAGGAAGGGAAAAGTCAAAGGAAAATAGGTGAAAAATCAAGAGCTTCCAAAACTGGAGTTCCAAAAATGATTAAAAGATATAGAGGAAAGGGAGCCCTTAAAACTATGCAAGACCTAATAGACCACCAAAGTTATAGCCATCAGATAAGTAGTACTAAAAGGCTTCATTTTTTGACAGAGGGAAGAAAATCAAGCTCCACTCTTGCTTCAGATCTGAAAAAATCCACAGGTGTTTCTTTCCATCCTTCCACTGTGAGAAGACAACTCAACACTATGAGTCTGAAAAGATGTGTAGCTGTTAAGAAGTCCATCCATCATCTAAACCGCTTATCCTTCTGGGTCGCTGGAGCCTATCCCAGCTGTCATTGGGCGGAAGGCAGGATACACCCTGGACAGGTCGCCAGTCCATCGCAGGGCAGACAGACATACACAGTCACACCTAGGGGCAATTTAGCACGTCCAATTGGCCTGACTGCATGTCTTTGGACTGTGGGAGGAAACCAGAGTACCCGGAGGAAACCCACGCAGACACGGGGAGAACATGCAAACTCCACACAGAAACGACCCTGGTCACCTGGCCAGGAATCGAACCCAGGCCCTTCTTGCTGTGAGGCGACAGCACTACCCACTGCGCCACCGTGCCGCCCTGTTAAGAAGTCATTACTGAGAAAAGGAAATAAACTAAAAAAAGAAGACATTTTCAAATCAAAAAAGAAAGCAGTCCAGAGTCCAGATCTCAACATCACTGAATGTGTTTGGGATTGCTTAGGTGATGGAAAGCAGAAAGTGCAACCGACTTCTAAGACTGAACTTGGAGTGGTGTGGAAAAACATCTTCACAGATTACTTTGAAAAACTGAAAGCAAGTGTCCCAAAAAAAAGGAAGCTGTAATAAAGGCACCAAACAATTGATGTTGTTGTACTTAATGGTGATTTGACTGGAAATTAAATAAATGGTCGTCTCTGACTTTTGCACAGGACTGTACATTATGTCATTTCATTCTTTATTTGATAAGTCATACAAAGCTTTACATATTTCACTTGTAAAAGAAATTATACTGCAGGTACTGCTCTTTGGGTAAAAATTGCTCCCAAGTAGCAATTTGTGGCAGAAAATGTGTTTCCCTCCATAGTTTCTTTAGTGCTGCTGATAAAGTGCTGATATTTATTGCAGTGTGACCACTCTTTTTGCACTCTTGGCACTCTCTCATTAAACATCTATAATTCTGATAACTCAGATATTTATGACCCCTCAGTGACAGAAATAACTCGCTGCCTGTTGACAATGCGCTTGGCTTTGTGATTTATTAATAAGGAAGATCTGTTAAATAGTTAGGAGCTCAGAAGTAGAAACAGACTGAGCCAAACAATTCACTAACTAATCTACCTAGTCATTGGCATCTAAGCAGCCTAACTGCCATACTGTTGGAAAATAAGGAATGAATAAAATTACCTGCTGCAGTTAACAGACCTTTATGTTAATAAATTGGATTCATAGGTTTATAATAGATTTCTCGCAGTTATTATTGGAGACATTAGCTTGCAGCTTCATTGGTGAGTAATACTATTTTCTCTGTCCATACGCTGTCAAAGTATGGGGAGTTTACAAATGGACAACGGACAGAAATGTTTAAGAGATGATCTTCCAGTGTTTTCATTTAAAAACAGCCATCTAAAAGTTAAGTTTCATTGTATCAGGGTGCAGATGTTACAAATGGACAATGCACCTGGGACAATGGACAATGCACCTGCTCATAACAATGAGCATTATTATTCAGACTATTCTTCAATATTACATCTACAGATATTTTAAAGTCTGTATGAATTGGAAATTACATCACGTTTTTCTGTCGAGATTGGCTTTGCATTGTTGTTTTGTAAGCATGAATATAATAAAAATACTTCAAAAGTAAACCTGATTTGTACCTTTAAACCCAGTACACATGATGGAAGCCTTAGCTCTCCAACTGGCTGCAAATTAGATGTTCACCTTTGAGAAAGGTGATGAACCCCAAACATCTCTGTTCCCTACATCTCTTTACGCTGTTCTGGAAAGTCTCTAGCTCCACAAGATGCTAATAAATTAATAACAAATCTACAAATGTACAGTACATAGACTTCTCCACCATGCTGTGCAGACCATCCATTCTCAGCAGATGAAACTGCATTTGGCCATGTTTTATAGCTTTGTATTTGTGTACATTTCTTTAGGGAACATAGTATCATCCTAAAATCAAAAATAAAGAATGCATGCCTAAATACAGTTAAGGATGTGCTTTACAGAGAGTCTGGCACATAAAGGACCCCAAACATAATGTGAGAGCATAAGCTAATAGCCTAAAAAAGGAGAGGTTAATTTTGATTTCAGATTGACTGTAATCATTACGTGCTGCATTAACCAAATAAATGAACTTGCTCTGATGTTTTGTAGAACATGAATCTAAAATTGTGATGTACTTCAAATTCTGATTTATTTATTATTATGTACAATGCATTGTTTCTATTCAAAAGTCTTATCAGTTTGTATTGATGGGAGTTCTGTATCAGGCCATTTGAGCTGTGTTGTATGCTGTATTTACGGTTATATGCAGTAGTAGTATGTGTTTCCTTGCAGCATTGTGAGTTGTGAATGGCTCTGCTGCAGGGGTTTCCTGGCTCTGTTCCTTTCTGGGTGATGTCCAGTGTGCGCTGCTGCACTGGTCCTGACCCCAAAGTGCGTGGAGCCACTGATTACCAGTGCTACAATAGAGCCATGCTGGGTGATAATTGGTCAATAATCCTCTAGACTTCATGTCCAGCTCATCTGTGCTGGTCCCTATGGCAGTGCTGTGAATGTGCAATGAGACAACACATCCTCTGACAGAGCTGCAGCATTGTGTACAGTAATCAATAACACCGCTCGCTTTTCAAGGTCGTCTGTAAGCAAGAGCAAAACAGTATCTTAGCCTGATGTTTGCCTGATTTGTGTTGTATATAGATTTTGTGCTTTATTGTTTAAAAGCAAAACTAGCACTTTTTCATTTTCTGCCAGACATTTTCACAATTCGATTATTGGCATGTAAATAAAGTCATTAACAGTGGTTTGATGTAAAATGGTGCATTGTAGAGATTTTTCTGATTGATTTACAACACAAATATGGCCATTTCTTTCTCCACCAGTGAAACTACATGTCTGCTGAATCTTTATCTTGTCGCCGTCCAAAAAAAATAAGTATTTCCATTTATTCAATTATTATCTGTTTTATTTGAGCACAACTGTCCTTTACATTGTCTCAAAATTTCATGATGATTGGGCCAATAGAAATGCTCCGAAATTGCTTGAAATGAAATCTCTTTAACTTACATTAAAGGTTAAGACCGTTTTTGCCCTCTCCTGTGATGTGACCAGTTAGTTACTTGTTTTTCTCTGTACAGCGACAGTATGTAATGTTAGCAATGGTAAAATCTTCACTATGATTAAAACAGATATAAATTTATATGTTAGGTCAACATCAATCATCTTAAAACAATGACTCAGGCATAAGACAGCATATTTATAAGCATTTTATTTAATAACTTTCTATGAGAGAGCTTTCAGGTTCCTGGTTCATGTCACAGTGAATGATACTGACTTGGTAGGTTTCTCTAAGATGGAGCATTTTGCATCAAACCACTCTGAATGACCTTGTTTACATCTTAATGATTTATTTATGCAGAAAAAAAATGGTGGAGTTTCTTTTAATACAAATAATCATAATTGAACTAAAGAAAGTAATGCTTTCAATGACTTCATTTAGATTTGTTTGTAATTTCCACATTATTTACAGAATTTTGTCTTACAGTTTACTTACTGTTGGTAATAATTGTGTTTATATGTATTCTATTCATGTGGAACTGATATATACATTTGAATCATGTCAGTTCACTGCATCAGGTTTCTGAGAGCAGAAACTTTTTTGCCAATGAGCTGGTTGGAGTGGTTAGAGTTAGTAAAAGGCTGCTGAGTGTACAGTATAAAACAGCAAACATTTCAGCTTCTAAGCTGAGCTGAGATACATGTTTGGTATGTAGAGCAGTGAAGGGGCTCTTTCTGTCCCAGCCATCTCTACTGGACCTGGCCGGTGTCCCTCTTCTGCTTCACACACACACAGTAGAGTGTGGGTCAGCACTTCTGTGTGTGTATGTGTGAGGATGTGTGTGGGTTGGGACCTTCAGTCAGCAACGGACTCTCACCCTGCATGTTTGCATTGGTCAGCAGTGTTTTGAAATGCATGAATGGTTTCACAGAGGATAGGGGCAGTCTCAGAGTCTTGAAGTATACACTGCTACAGCTAAGACTAACAAGCTGTAGAACAGAGCGATCAAGGTCATCTAGCTGTTGTAAAAGCATTCTCCTTATTAGTTTTGGAGTTGTTTTATTTGCTAAAGTAACATTTACAAATAGTGATACGTATAGATTCATTGGAGCTACAATAAATACTAACGTAAATTCTATACAGATATAAAAACGTTCCACATGAATGCCAATAATACACAGTTTTGGCTTGATGTATTGTCTATATATCAAAGTCTCTGCAGTTATTTCAGCATTTGGAGGCTTCTCTGTTTTTTAGAGTGTTCAGTGCAGGAGAGAATGCAAACGTCAGGAGTTTCTTTACATGGAGAGCAATTTGTTACCCAGCACTTTCATCAGCTTGAGCATGAGAATACTCACACACTCCTAAAAATGTGTGTTTTTAAACTGTGTGGTGTATAGACATTTTTTACCTAAATTGAACTGATTAAAGTAAAAAAAATTAAGATGCACTGCTGTGTAGGCTGATTCCTATGTGTGATATACACCAACTGTCCACTTTATTAAGTACACCTGGATCTACACTCATTGTCCATTTTATCAACTCCACTTACCATATAGGAGCACTTTGTAGTTCTACAATCACAGACTGTAGTCCATCTGTTTCTCTGCATACTTTGTTAGCCCTCTTTTACCCCCACAGGACCCCCACAGGACCACCACAGAGCAGGTATTATTTAAGTGGGGGATCATTCTCAGCACTGCAGTGACAGTGACATGGTCGGGGCGTGTTAGTGTGTGTTGCGCTGGTATGAGTGGATCAGACACAGCAGTGCTGCTGGAGTTTTTAAACAGGGTCCAGTTATTGTCCACTCTATTCGACACTCCTACCTTGTTGGTCCACATTGTAGATGTGAAGTCAGAGATAGTAGCTTATCTGTTGCTGCACAGTTTGTGTCGGTCATCCTCTAGTCCTTCATCAGTAGTCACAGGATGCTGCCCACAGGACGCTGTTGGCTGGCTATTTTTGATTGGTGGACTATTCTCAGTCTGGCAGTGACGAGGAGGTGTTTAAAAACTCCAGCAGCACTGCTGTGTCTGATCCACCTGTACCAGTGCAACACACACTAACACACCAGTGCCACATCAGTGTCTCTGCAGTGCTGAGCATGACCCACCCCTAAATAATACCTGCTCTGTGCTGGTCCTGTGGGGGTCCCGACCATTAAAGAACAGGGGAAAACAGGGATGACAAACTATGCAGAGAAACAGATGGATGAATACAGACTACAATCTGTAACTGTAGAACTACAAAGTGAACTTATACGGTAAATAGAGCTAAAGTGTGAATGAGTGTTTTTGTTAGTTAGCTGCTTGTTGATTTATTTAAAGATCTCCCATGAGCACTGTCCAGTTCAGTCCACCAAAACCTTTATTAACACATTAACTTTGACATGCCTACTTATAGGCCTTGTCTATCCTTCATTCTTGGTATCGTATTTTTGGTTGAGATTTTATATGGTAGTTAATGTCATCAGTTCTGCTTGTTTGTCATGTTTTCTAGTCTAAACTCTCTTTTGAATAAACTAATACACATACTCCCTCATTACAGTACTTGAGAGACTCTTGGATAAATATGCATCATTACTGGAACAGATGCTGTTTTCCTCCAGAGTTTTTCTTTACTGCTCCAATTGCAAGTTAATGTGCACTCCTGCATACATGTAATGAATACCATTCATTTGCAATTGATTTAGAGAGCAGCGTTCCCCGTGCTGTCAGACTCGAACAAACATGACTTGGTGTAAAGAAACCTTTCTCTCTTGCTCTTCTCCCTCTCTTACTGGTATTTTTTTTGTCCTTCTCCCTTCTCTCTGTTACAGAGTAATGAAATGCTGGAGCTGCAGAAGGGCAGGATGAGAGAGGAGATAAAGGAATATAAGTTCCGAGAGGCCAGACTGCTGCAGGACTACACCGAGCTAGAAGAGGAGAACATCACCCTGCAGAAGCTTGTGTCCACACTCAAGCAGAATCAGGTATATCTGTTTAACTACCCATATTTAATAATATGAATAAGTCTCATGTATAATATTTATTTACATACCTATATGTAATGATTATCTGCCCCATATGTATAATATAAATGTAACTGCCTCTATGTAATAACATTACATCCTATATGCATTATGTTATCACAATAGATATCCTCCTTAATGACTTTACAGTAGAAGAACCTTCCATTCAAAGTTAAGAACTTTTCTCCTTGTACCATAAAGTTACTTTTATTTTGCAAATACACGTTTTTGTCCCTACAGTGACCATTTATGTAATAAAAAATACACAAAAGCCTAAACAATTACATTAACAAATATAATGTCACATTTTTCAGTATTTAGCATGTCTACCATTTAGTTCAGTCTGGTTGCATACATAAAACCTCACTCCACATCTCAGATGTCCAAGTTCCAGAGTTTTTGCCATGACAGTGATGATATGTAGCCCATATGTAATAATAATAATTTGTCCCCTATGTACTATATATGTGTAGCTACCTACATGTAATAACGATATGACCCATGTGTATTACATATGTGTAACTAGGCGCATGTATTAAGAATTTTAAAATTTAATAAGAAACCAAAAACTGACTGAAGAGCGTGCCTCAAATAGTCTGTTACTTCTCATCCCCACAGATGAATAAACTGTATACCCACAATGTCCATGACTTACTTAGTCTTGCTCAGGGCTGGAACGGGACTTGTTTTCAAAATGGGAGTTACATGATGCAAAAAAGCCCACCCTAAACTCTAAACTGTGTTTCACCTGCTACCCACATACTCACAAATACACACACACACAGCATTGCCTTCATGCAAAATAACTTTTAAAAATAACTCTAAAATAACTCTAAAATCTGCACATGTTCATCTTTTTCATTTCTTGCTTTGTGTATTATTTATATACACTGATGGCTAGACAGTAATAAAATAAAAACTGAAGAAAGCTTTTATCTTAAATGTGACATAATCATGACAGTCAACTCATTCTTCTTTTCTCGATGCCACGTTGTTTTTTTGCAGTTCGCTTGGTGCTGCTGTCTATCTTCACATGATTCATATGTAAAATTGCTACATTGATAATGCAAAAAATGTAAATAAACTCTGCAGAGCACTGCCTGTCAACCAGTACCAGATTTACACTGTCACACTGAATTTTATACACTTCTTATTCAAATTTCACCTTAAATAGTGCCGCAGTTACACGCTAGCACCTGTACAGATATCTAAATGTAACTGCTACATCATTTAAGTAGGAACAGGAAATGAGAAAAAGAAGCTAACTTCAGCTTCATCTAGTTTCTATCCACTGTACAAAACTAAGTAACTGTACTAACTTACAGTTAACAAACTAAGGCTATATAACTTGAGGAAGGGGGGGTGCGGGTTTAACCCCTAAATTACTGTAGATATACATTTGGATGTAACATTTTATAGTTTTTCTGAGCATTTTTGTTCTTATATACATGAGTTTATTTCTTACCTCACGGTAACCGGCCCAAAACGCTACCAGACCACCAAGAATTTTCCCAACAGTTACACACTCTGGCACTGGTCTTACATGATCACAAAAGTCATTGTTCATTTTGTATTACAAATTGGAAAAATTTTGTCTGGTTCGTTGGAAAAACGTGATGAGTAACACGTGTCCACAATGTTCATTTAAGGTCTACATCATCTGTATGAGGTTCATGAGTATCTAAACCTAAATCATTTTACCGATCTATTAACCTTATGCTCTCCTCATTTCCTAACATCTGTCTTTAGGTGGAGTATGAGGGTTTGAAGCATGAGATCAAAGTCCTGGAGGAGGAAACAGTTCTGCTGAACAGCCAACTGGAGGATGCATTGCGTTTAAAGGACATCTCTGAGGGCCAGTTAGAGGAGGCACTGGATGCTCTGAAGAGTGAGAGAGAGCAGAAGAACAACCTGAGGAAAGAGCTAACCCACCACCTCAGCCTCAGTGACTGTGTGTACGGAGCCAGCACACACATAGCCATCTCAGCTGTGGAAGGATTCAAGTTTGCAGAGGAAGCTTCCATTAATGGCACCTCACCCTCAGGTTCCAGTCTCAATAACGAGGACAGTAATCGGTGTAATGGCTGTAATGGTCATGGGCCAAAGATGAACGGTGACTACCACCGGCCTGGAGGGAGAAAGGGAGAGGTGCTGCACCCGGTGTCCGATCTGTTCAGTGAACTCAACCTGTCTGAGATACAGAAACTCAAACAGCAGCTCTTACAGGTGAGTTACAAGTGGATGGATATATACAACTAGACTTGAGTTGATCTATCATCTAAAAAAACATAATGTCATTTTTTTATGCTTGGGTCTGATTTTCACTAGCTTGGAATAGCTATAGCTTGGACTTCTAAAGCTGATTTCCTCAGAGTAGCCCGTACACAAGCGCTGACATCTCCAGTTCAGACAACCTTACCAATTGCAGACTCAAAGGTCGCACTACTGCTGGCAGGACATGTGTAGTGAAGAAACACAAACTCTACTAAAGCCTGAATTTGGCTGCTGGCTTTCTTGGGCAGTAGCCAGTTCAGTGCTTTAAAAAAAACAGGCTAACAACTTCCCCTCTGTCCTAGTGATAACTTCAACACCTGTGTGAGTTTCATCTGGCTTTCCATACTATGTTTAACTTACATTTACATTTACATTTACAGCATACAGCAGACGCTCTTATCCAGAGCAACTTACAAAATGTATTAACCTTAATACATTTGGCCCATCACAAACAAGCAACAAGCTCAGTTTACTGATGCTCTCTAATATTGATGTTGTCTATGGATGAAACGACTCCCATAGAAGTTCACACAGAACCTGTCTCTTCCTTGCAATGGCCATATGGCTCCATCCATTCAGAGGATGCTGCCTCCAACACATATAATGTGTTCCCATGTCAAGTTACATCCCACAGTGCAACTACCTTGCTGGACACTATTAAACTAGCCACTGTGGTTTCCACTGCTGCTATCCCTTCTAAAAGACTCCCACACAGGAAATACTCCCTGTCTCAGCAGGGGGTCCGTGTATGGCACCTGTATCTAGGTCATCTCTGGTATGACTGTTGCCTTACAATGCTTTCTGAGTGATGTAGGTAGTTCAGTCTGGTGCAGTGCTCAGTGCCTGTTGTATTACAGTTCTTATAGGGCCTGCTGAATGGAGGTAATTTATGGCCTTTATTTTGGCTTATCATAAGTATACAAATGTGTTATAGTTGTGTTATAGTTATACTTAATTTGAGTATCTTCCTGAAGGACACGTTATCAAGCTCTTAGTGACAGACTTTTTGTGTGGTCCATCTTTTTAGCCTTTGACATGAGCAGACCCCACATGACTACTAGTGAGTTCACTGAGGACTGGTGATTACGTTGTGTAAACTTGTGGGTGAGCTACACACGCTCTGCTTGCGGAGTGTATCCAGACGAAGTCCAATTCAATGTCATACTCTGGCCCAATCCAGCATTTCTCCCTGAGATCTTATCCCCTTAATATGTGAATCAGCATATTGAACTGGCTTTGTTCTCTGACAAGCAGAAAGCTTGTCGTTCCCTGTTGCATCCTGTCTTGGCACTGCAGGCGATTGTCAGACAGACCAGCTGTTTGTCTGCTTGAGGGACACAAATAAAGAGGCTCCCCTGTTGTAACAGAGACTTTTTACTGGGTAATCCCTATGGCTTACAAGTCTATCTGGCAGACGATCCTGGGTTTGGTGTCTTAACACTCTGTCTGGAGTTCTAACAGTGATGGGCACTGAAGGATATCTAACTGATCATTGCTTTAGACATTCACTTGGTTGTTTTGTGTCAATATGACCTCTGCTTATGCACTGAGCCACTGACAGCCAGTGGCAATGAAACAGTTTGCTAGCTGTGAATATAATTTTACTAGATTCCATTTTGCACCAGAACCAGAACCAGAAATTAGAGTGAGGCGCTGGAAGTGGGTGTATTTCCTTCCTGTAACAGATTGAATACTCCAGAAGTGCTGACATTAATAACATGCCTACAGAGTGTAATTTATATATTTTAAAATTCTAGATTTTGGGAAAAAGCATGCGTATTGGCTCACATATGCTATGATAGACTACTTAGGAATTGAAATTTGGTATTTAACAACACGTAATATTTTAATACTCAAGTCCTGTAGAACTTCACACAGAACTTCTTGAGATGGCCACATGGCACCATCCATTCTGAGGATTCCACCTTTGACTCCTCCTTTCCAATAGTTTATCCAGGTGAGTTATGAGCAATTACCTTGATGGATACGGCTGTGTTTTCCTGGGTAATAGCCACAGCTGATGGACTGCTAGCTGGTGCTGGCAGTCCAGGAGGTCCATGATGTATGCCAAGTGCATTGAATCTAGACATCATTTGAGAACTGGCTGTGTTCACGAGAACTAGAAATAGGTTTACGCACTAAAATAGCATTTGTAATTATATCTATGTCATTCTCTTATACAGACAGGCAGCAATCCACTACAGGACAACACCTATTATATATATTTTATTCAAACTGTTTCAAACAAACTGTTGAAAATGAGTAGGTCTCACATTTTGTTACATCCTTATTGCAGATCATGGTATCATGAAGTTCATAAGTTTCCAGTGGACAGAGCTTAGAGATGCCATGAAGTCAGCTTAGGGAATATTGTCTGTGTTCACTGCTGTGATGGAAATCTCCTGTGTTTGTCAGCGCAGGCCCTGTCAAAATGATTAGCGTTACTAGCACATTGGTTTCTGCAACTTCGTTGGAAAGCGGGACAGGGTGTGTATGTGTATGTGTGTGCCACAGGCGTGTTCAGTGGGAGACAGCAGGGGACAGGAATAGAAACTCTGCCAGTGACAGCACAGAAACACAGAGAGCATCCGCTGCATAGAAATCAGTGTGCTGTGTAAGAGTACTGCTGTCCGGAAAATAACAATGAGGCTAAAGTATCCTCAGAATGAGAAATGAAATTAACTAGTATTTTTGTACAATATCCATTATTAAATAAACAGTAAATGTTTTAAAAGACAAAAAAAAACAAATAAATATTTGTGTGGAATAAAATGTATAAAATATGTACAGTAATGGTGATGATATGCATTTTGTTTAGGACAGTCCAACCCTTAAATTAAATTTGTGAAAACATATGTCAAGCTCAACAGCCAATTGTAAGATTAACCATTAGAACCATTATTGCTAGTGATAACAAAAGCATATTGTAATTTGGTATTCATTATTTCTCACTTGTAGCTCATTGAAAGAAGTCGAGACATTTTGCCAAAAGTGCAGATTCTAAATTCACAGTCATTACCACATTTATGTTGTAAGAGGTTCTTGTGTTCACTGCTGAAAGACAAAAAATCCTTTCATTTTAGCTGTGCGTGTTATTTATTGACATTGGAACCAATCTTAAAGTCAGAAGTGCAGACTCAGTCAAATCAGAATATAAACCAAATACAAATTAGTTCTTTATTTAGCTAGCTATGTAATTAAGCACATAAGTGTTAGGATTGCACCGTATTGGTATCAACGCCGTTACTGGCATTTAAACACGGTATCAGTATCGGTGATGGGGATGCCGATACCACAAAGCAATTTCTGACACACACATGCACCAGCAGACGAAACTTAATAATACTTTGTTGGTATGGTTTGACAAGCAGCAGTTAAAATGCTCATGGCAGAATTTGTAACACCAGTATTTTGTGGAGAGGCAGTAGTAGTGGGTGATATACCAGTTTGAATTGTTCCTAAGCCAGGTTTGTCAAGTTTGTCTATATATATATGTCTATATATTTGTCTATATAGCACAATAAAATACTGATTATATTTAGTGAATAAACAGAAATAGGTTAGTCTTAAAAAACTGTGTTCTGTGTCACAAATAAAACATATCAAGCTTAAATGAATATATAGACTTTTTTCCAAGTCATTCTGGGTCAGTTCTTTTGGTCCATTCATCATCAAACTCACACACAATGTACAAGGTTTTGTCCCAACAGCAGCAATATATATATATATATATTATATATATATATATATATATATATATATATATATATGTATATATACACAAGTAAATGCTTGATAGTGACACAGCACAGCTTTTACAAAATATTTAAAAAGTGAAACTGTATAAATATCATGAATTATAAGCTAGTTACTTTAGATAGAGTTAGTATACTCAGGAATCAAGTATCAGTATCAGAAGAGAAAAAGTAGTATTGGTATACCTCCAGTATTTGTGTAATTGCATTAATTGCAAATAGATTGATAATAGTAATTCTCAACTTCTATTCGGTTAAAGTAACTAATATAGCTATATAGTAGGGTTTTTTTAGAATGGAATGACTGTCATGGCTCAAACATAATTGTGTGACCAGTTTTCCATTATGAATAAAAAATGAAAAGAATAAAACCACACATAAAATTCAGCCATAAATAGTGAACACAAATCAATAATTTAGAGAGTATAACACACTGAGTGACTCTGCATGTGATGTAATGTGGTCATAGTGCTTCCCCTTTCATCAACCATGTCTGTGTGTAACCAGACATTCAGTGATAATGTACGCACACACACATACATTGCATATGCACGTCGTTTAACAGTCTTGTGGCCTGCCTGACAGGTGCTGAAAACCAATAGAAAACTCTTATGTCAAGGTTTCCCCTCAGGCTTTGTTTATATATTTATTTTCTGTTTTCTTGGACCTTTTTCAATGAAGAATCGATAGAGTTTCACCATCTCAGCTCCACACACTGGAGATGGCTGACTCCTCCAATACAATGGCTGACTCCTCTAATACAGTCCTCTAATACAATCAAAAAGCAGTTAAGCAGCACTTGCGTTCAATTTCAAGAATCATGTGCCATGTGTCACAGGCAAGTTGAGGAAATATAACACCTCACTATACATGTCTGCATGTTGTTTGACCTGTGAATCAAGTGATGCTGCAAACCATGCTCTCTGTATACTGCTGTAATAAGAATAAGAACAGTGAAGTCTCAGCCTCAGATGCTCCGCTCACACATATGTGGAGGATCTGATAATTATATTAATTTTGTCAGTCTGATGTCTATAGTAGATATGTACTTCCTTTCTTGAGCCTTTCAGAGCAAGATACACTAGATTGATCAAAGGTTTGTGGCATACCATCACAAAGTTGGACTTTAACACCATTGTTGTACCTGAGGGTGCATTTGCATTGTACCTCGTACAATGTACCTGTACTGTATCTTTTTTCTGACAGTGTAGAGCTGGTATAAGTGTATTAGGCTTTAGGAGTTTGGTGGTCTGCCACCCCAAAAATATCCAGCCAAGAGTGGCTTTTTGGTAAGAAACTGTCCATTGATGAAGAGCATGACTAGCACAACCTGTACATAAAAGACTGACCACCAGCAAGGAGCAAGGATCTACAAGAGAGGTCTTCAAATCTGGGCCTTGAATCCAGTTTCTGGTTTTGGATTTTGTTATCACTGGTAAATACTGGAGTTACATCAACAGTTCAGTGATTGCGAAATCCAGGACCAGAAACTGGATTAAAAGTCAGAATTGAAGACCTCTGATCTATAACTATAGATTGGCTGGTGAGTGTGTATATAACATGTATATGTAATAGTTTGTCCCTGTCTACAAATTCTTGTTTGACATTGTTCACTATTCCATTGCAGTAAAAGAGAAGTCTGTATGTTTCTCAAGCTGCTCAAGAATCTCTGCTATGCTATGCACCATCCACTTGAACACTCTTTTTTCATTACCTGCTCTGCCCATCTACTAGGTTGAGCGAGAAAAGGCAACCCTACTGACTAACCTCCAGGAGTCTCAGACACAGCTGCAGCACACACAAGGTGCTCTAACTGAGCAGCACAAGCGTGTGAACCGCCTTACGGAGCGCATCAATGCTATGAAACGTCTCTGTAGCGACAAGGAGCTGGATGCCGAGGAGACAGAGAAAGGGAACCCACCCACGAATGGCTGCCATGAGCATGAAGTGGAAATCAATGGCATCGAGATCCTGGAGTGTAAGTATAAGGTAGCCGTAACAGAGGTCATTGACCTGAAAGCTGAGCTGAAGGCCTTGAAAGAGAAGTATAACAAGTCCGTGGAGAGCCAGTCAGAAGAGCGCAGCCACAGTGAGGGCAAGCTTCAGGTTCTCAATGAGCATGTGACATCGTTGGAGAGGGAGTGCCGTGAGAGTCGTGAGCACATCAGCAGCTTGGAGGCAGAGCTTCGGTGCACAACATCCATGGCAACCGAAAGTCAAGGTATGCTAAATTCTGCTCAAGATGAGCTGGTTACCTTTAGTGAAGAGCTAGCACAACTGTACCATCACGTCTGCCTGTGCAACAACGAGACACCCAACCGCGTCATGCTGGACTATTATCGCCAGAGTCGCGTTACACGCAGTGGCAGTCTTAAAGGTGCTGATGATCCCCGGGCCTTGCTGTCACCCCGTCTCGCCCGCCGCCTGGCTGCTGCCAACTCCTCAGACCCTTGTAGGAGTCCCCAGGACTCACCCCTAAAGGAGCCCTCTGGGGAAGGTGGTAAAGGGGAGACAGTGAGCCAACAGAGCCCCTCCAGAACCCCCTTTGGTTCCCCAGTTAACAGTGCCTCACCATCCATTTCACCTGCCCCAGAGGCAAGCGGAGATCTCCGCAAGGAACCCATGAACATTTACAACCTGAATGCCATTATTCGGGACCAGATCAAGCACTTGCAAAAGGCTGTGGACCGCTCGCTGCAGCTGTCCAGACAGAGGGCAGCCGCTCGGGAGTTAGCACCCATCTTCGACAAGGACAAAGAGTCCTGTATGGAGGAGATCCTGAAGCTCAAGTCCCTCTTGAGCACCAAGAGAGAACAGATAGCCACCCTGCGTCTCGTCCTTAAGGCCAATAAACAGGTAGGAGTCCACTCACGTTTTAATATGAACCACAATGCAAATCATACTAACCAATAACTTGTATACTCATATTTTATTACATTAACATACAGTCAGCACTATAATTATTGGCACCCTTGGTAAAGAGGGGTAAAAAAGGTCCTGGACACACTGGAAATATGAGAAAAATCTAACCATTTATCGAAATTTCACACTGAAAATATGAGAAACAAATCTAATCATTAAGTCTAACCATTTAGGAAAAAATACTATAAAACCATGTGTAACAAAAAAATGGCACCCCTAGAAATTCTTATGAACAAAAAAAATTAAAGCATATCGCCATTTATATTTAACTTTAACAGAAGTCCACATGAGTTTTAAGAGGCCAAATTTCCTTAATCTTTCATCAACATGGGAAAAAATCTGAGAATACACAAATAAAATGAGACAAAAGTGTGCTGAAAATGCCTTTATCCACTGTGCAGTAATTAAGACGTTAAAAACAACCAGAGCTGTAGGGAACCTGTCTGGAAGAGAATGCATGTTTATTTTACTCCCACACACAGTAAGGAGGATGGTTATAGAGGTAAAACAATCTACAAGGATCATAGCTGGAGATTTAGTCCCCAAACATTAATATACCACCTTCACACAAAAAAACTATTTGGAAGGCATAATAAAAGAAAGAATTTTCTTTTGTCTAACCACGAATGTAAACTCTTTGTGTTCTCTATGCACTACTGGAAACAGGTTCTATGGTCAGATGAGACAAAAATAGAGATTTTAGAAAACACTCAATGTAGGATTGGTGTAAAATGAAAGATGGTTATGCATAAAAAAAATGATCTCCACTGTTAAGTATGGTGGAGGATATATATGTTAATTTTAATCCCAAATCTCTAGGAGCCTTGTTAGGATACATTGCGTCATGTACTCCATGAAGTAGGTTTATGCCAGTCCAGGAGGTTTATGCCTCTGTCAAAAATTTAATACTGAGTTGTTGCTGGATCATCCAGCAGGGCAGTGAACCACAACAAATGTGCAAACCCACACAAAAAATGGTTCAGTGACTACAGAATCAAGCCTTTGACATGGCCATCCCAGTCCCCTGACCCAAACCCCATTGAAAATCTGTGGGGGGAGCTGAAGAAGAGACTACAAAAGCGAGGATCTAGGAGCGTCTGAAGAGAATCTGATTTGTTGCTCTGTATTCTCTAATCTTGTAAAGCATAATAGGAGAAGAGTCACCGCTATGATGTTGGCAAATGGAGGTTGCACAAAGTACTGAATGGGTGCCAATAATTGTGACACATAATTGAAAAAAAGATAAGCAGTTTTGTTTTCTTAGACTAAATTTACTTCACTCAAATGTTAGATTCACATTTTTCAGTGAGACTGAGCTAATTAACCACAAAGACTTTTCCACTCCTCCTTTCACTACAACATTTTTCCACTCCTTACCACAGGATGCCAATAATTATGAAGCTGCTGACTGTGTGTCAGAGTAACAAGGTTTTGTTTAGATAATTTTAATCATACTTAATTTTAACTAATTTTGGACCATGTTCGTTCATTCTTCATTAACTTTTCACAAAATTTGAAGGCCATCATTTTCAGTTAACGCAAAAAAATTAAAAATGAAAATGGAGTTGGAGGTTTGGATATGACAGTGCGGAAATCTTTTCACTTGCTAACCTGGAAAGCTTTCATAAACCAAGTTAAGGTAGAAAATCTGCTCATGCCTGAGTAACAGGTTTTCTGGTTTCTCCCCAGACTGCAGAGGTAGCCTTGGCTAATCTGAAGAGTAAGTATGAGAATGAAAAGTCCATGGTGACAGAGACAATGATGAAGCTGAGGAATGAGCTAAAGGCTCTGAAAGAGGACGCAGCCACCTTCTCTTCCCTGAGGGCGATGTTTGCCACCAGGTACACTACGTTCATTTTAGCAGGCATCTGCCCTTCACTGTAATGAGATCAAAGGCATAACCCTTAGAAGAGTTATTATTGTTGTTGTGATATACATTTGATTAAGTTTCATTATTATGTATATGTAATTGCACAATTAGGCTATTTATATTTGTAATATATTTCTTTTTTTTACTATCTGTTTAGATGTAAACACATCAACAACAAAAACCTAGCAAAAATGTGAAGGATGTGTTTTTTTCTAATAAGAACTTTTCTTCAGATTATAACAATATACAGTCGTATTCAAAAGCCTCCCAACAAAATTACATGTTTTGTTGGTTTTCTAAGTTAAACATCTTCTATACAGGGAACAAACTATGTGTAGTTTGTATATCAAAGTATGGCATTTTTCTGCAAACTTTAGTGTAAAATGTGTATTTTTTTCTCAGTAATACATGCTGGAAAAAGCACACACAGTATAAAATCTGACATAATTTTAAATTCAGTTAAATTCAACAAATAAACAGTAACTGTATTATAATGTGCAGAAATGTGTACTTAAATTCACTCAGAAAAGCAATAAAGTTTGACCAAGGGTGCCCAAACTTTTACACACGATTGTACATCTCCTCTTCTACTTACAAACACGAATCTGGTATCAGTTAAAAGTCTTAATTCAATTATTCAGTGAGCTTTCAGTGAGAACTAATTAAAGAAGAATTTTACACTGCAACCTTAAGTGGTTAAGAAAGTTCATGAACATCTGCTCTCTGAAAACAGCTGTAGTTTTTTGTGTGTCTTTTGCATTGACTATTACTTGACTGTCTTCTGCCTCTTTGTCCCACTCTCTGCAGGTGTGATGAGTATGTCACTCAGCTGGATGAGATGCAGAGGCAATTGGCAGCAGCTGAGGATGAGAAAAAGACTCTGAACTCGCTACTCCGCATGGCCATCCAGCAGAAACTGGCCCTCACACAGCGTCTGGAGGACCTGGAGTTTGACCACGAGCAGTCACACCGTGGCCGTGGAGGAAAGGTTCCCAAAATAAAGAGCAGCCCTCCAAAAGTAAGTCACCAAACTGCACTCACTACTCTCCCTAGACCCAATAAAACTTTTCATTTACAAAACCATATTACTGCCACTGCTGGTGGACCACCTTAGGAGGTACCGCATACATGCCCTTCCTGGATCTCGTCATTCTTTCTTTCCAGGTCTGAGCACTTGGCATCTATTAGAAGGCCCTGTGAGGTCTTAAACGCCATATAGCTCAGTCCACATCCACAACAGCAAGTGGCCTTTGTCTCAGGCCTACATATCCCAGAATTCCAAGCTCTGAGGCTGAGCAGGCAAGATGCAAAAGGACAGACTGGTTTCCACATTTTGTTTTGATTGTGAGACTCTTCTCAGAGATGTGCTCAACAACACTTCTGATGTTACTGACCAATGTTTTTATGAGATTTATGAGACCAGAAAATCTCACCATCAAGACTTTTGGGACATTTCCATTGGATACAAGTAAGCATGTTTACAACAGATATTGCAATGGTTACCTTAATTCATTCTGGCCAGAGTGCCTCTTTAAAAAAGATTGGCTGTTTGAGCTTGAGCCTGGTTGCAGAACAATAACCTGTTTAGCTTTCTGTTAATTTATTTGAAGTTCAATGAAATTATAATTTTAAGGAATCTGGGTTACTTACTTAATCTTAAAATTAGTTAAAAATGCCAAATATTTTGTTTACAGCATATATAACTGATCATATTACTACTAATATAAAGAATCTACATACAAACAGAAATAAAATATAACTTTGTTATAAATAAAACTTTAATGTTTTGTTCTGTGGTCTTTAAGAGGAAACACACTCCAAGGCTTTCAAGGTTTTGCATACTTTTCGCTCCTATCTCTGCGCTGAGAATTTCTAATGGAGTTGAGTTTAATTAGTGCCTCTATCCCTGCCTGTTTTCTTATTTTGCAGGTCAGCATATTCACTGATGCAGTCATGTATTCATTGTGTGTAATGGAGTTCTCTCAAGTCTTTGAAAGTACAATATTATTAGGTAGTGATGCAACTCAGGAGAAACCAGTGGCTCCACCCAATGGTCAGATAGGATAAGTACAGAACCTGAGCCTCAATAATGCTGATGCACTTTTCTGCACCATCTTCAGGTTAAAGCAACCACCCACAGTTACTGCTTTGCACACTGCCCCAGTGCTTTTGAACATTTGCTAAAGCATGAAATGGACCAGTACTCAGTACCCAGCATTATCTTGCGTCATAAATGTAAATACAGCCATGTGGCCCCTATGCTGTACTTACAGATTCAAGTGTCATGCTCAGATGATCTCAAGGGCATGCCATATGATTAAAAGTGCAGTCGCACAGATCTGTGCTATTTAGGGCTACAGCATATGGGACTGCAGTGTGTGCATTGTGCAGACTCAGGGACATGCTCTCACCTCTGCTCTCTGCTGCCCACTAGCTGTATCCCAGTGGACTGTGGTGTATGCTCAATAATACGGGATACATCATTTATCATTACACACAAGGCTCTGTGAACCAAAAGGCATTTGAAGAGATTTCTGGTCAGTGAAATCTCCTCAAATGCCTTTTGGCTCACAGAGCCTTGTGTGTAACATGGGAGTTCATTAACTTCCCATACTTAAGATGGACCTTTTGAAAGTTAATCAGCCCTGAACTCGGATAGATCAGGTCGTGATTTGTGCAGGATATTGGAATTTGCTGATGTTTTATGGCAGGGTTCCACTGAAAAAAAGGATATGTTGAATTTACTTCATTCTAATGTGTAGATTATTTTCATGTGATTAAAATACATACATCAACACAATGTTGTATTTTAGTTTGCTTGCTTTTGGCAATAATTGTGCCAAGGTTAAAGTCAGAGTCCTTACATAGCGCTTTCACCCATACAGACATATTTTGACACACCAGAAATGAAAACTGTGTTTATGTGACATTTAATTCATGTGGAAATAACATACGCATTAAGTAAATTCCTTTTTCAGTGCAATTTCAGTGCAATAAGTACAATCTTGTAGTGATGCATCTGAATAAAGATGCATGATTAATTTTACTCCTCGTGTTTATTTGAAATTATTATTTTATTAGACATGAAGCAGTATTTCAGATTGTGTTTTCCTTGGAAGTGATGATGCTTGATTCTTATGGCCAATACTGATTCCAAATTCTTTACAGCCAGATTGGCTGATGACCGATTTTTGCCAGTTTTTGCTGTTTAGTAATCAAAGCTCACACTGTTTGGGCTAATGAACACATGACAAACTGTAGCTCATTTCCAGTACTTTTTTTAGCACATAAATATTATGACAGAAGCAGGGTTGGCTATGGCAGCCAGAAAAGAAATTGACTCACTGCTTTCTGGCACCATAGCCTGTGGTTCGTCTATGGCAGAGACATCAGTTTGCTGTAGTTGGTAAAAGCGTGAGGTTTAAGTGAGATAATTCCATGTTTTTCTTGCATGTTGAATTATTCTAACATTGCATTATAAGCAAATGATAGTGAGATTATTCTCTGTCCTTTGTTCTCCAAAGCTTATCCACTCAATACCTAAAGTCAACTAAGTGTTAACCAAACAACATACATCAATTTCAATATTAAATGCAAACATGGTAATAATAATATTCTGATCTGCCCTCAGGGGATGTTTGAATTTGAAACCAATGAACATCAACTAATAAATTATACCCAGTTAAGCCGTCATGGAAAAGAGTAATTAGATCCTCAACCAGCAGTGAACATATTTTATTTAAATACATAGAGAAAGGACTGCTTTATTCTCTTTATAGGTTTTGTTGATATTCAAGATGAGACTGGACTTCAGCACTACAGCACTATTATTTACATTATACAATTGTAACAGAAATCGTTAATAATCCAAATAATTAGACAAATCGTCCAGCATCCAAATAATTAGACAAATCGCCCCGAATCCAAATAATTAGACAGATTGCCGATTGCCTGTTCGGAGAAAAAATCAGCCGTTTCCAGACTTGTCTGATGGTGCACCTCTAGATTTCTTTGTTCATGTCGTGGTGCTGTAGTATTGCTGCAGAGGTGTGTGGCTCGTATGAGTCAGGGGATCCTTCTGACATGTAGGCCTAATGAGGGTGGAAACCAGCCTGATCCTCTACTGTCTGCCAGCTTCTATTATCTAATAATCAGTAAAGCACAAATCACACAAAGAATCTACTGTTAAAAGAAACATCCGTAAATGTATAACAGTATCCATGTTAAAACAACCCTTCCTGCAGTGTCAGTTTAAATGTGTCACTTTCTGCTTTAGGCTTGCTTAAACTCGCTTTTTGATAAGCATCTAAATTCTGTTATGCAATAGTGGCCACCACGCAAATCCCCAGAAACAGGCTCAAAATTCTGGGAAGGGCATCTGTAGGAGGTGAACACTTTGATTTTCATAATGTCTCATCCCCTTACCTCACGAACTGCCCACACACCGAACCAAGCCCTGTGTGGCCTATGGCCTGCTCTCATCCTCTTTGTAAACAAGACAGAGGACCAAAAAAGAAAGTTAAGTCCTGCCCCCAAATGAAATTTTAATTTATTTTCAAATAATTTTATTATTTACCATTTATTATCATAACTATTGGATTACTGTTGACTATTATGTTGAACATGAATATATGTGTATATATATATATATATATATATATATATATATATATATATATACTAGAATTGTTTACCATTTGATGAAGTGTTGTAATTGTTTTGAGCTGTGTTGTGTATTCTTGTTTTGTTTTGTGATTTCTGTATGCCCCTGTTTGTTTTTACTACTATCAAAAATTCATCTTCTTCATGTATTTAACATGAAATTCCATCCATCTATGTCTGAGGAAAATGTGGCTTTTTAACAATAACTGTAGGCTTTATCTGCACCTTTTCTTGAACTATTTCTGCTTTGCTTGTCTTGCTCATAACTCCACTCAATATGACATGACATCACAACATTAAGCTATTAAGCTACAATACCTTGCAAAAGTCAGAGCCCACTTTTTATATATTTTACAGTCAGGTCATTAAATACAAGCTATTCATTTTTCAGCATCAGGAAAATGAAAAACAAATAGAAGGATCAACAACTAAATGTAATATGAATTTTTTCAATATTTAAAGTATTCACCCATTGCCTTTATTACTGCTTTCATTTTCTGGGGTGACTTTCAGTTTTTCGAAGAAATCTGCTGGGATAATGTTTCACACCTCCAAAGTTCTGTCTGAGAAGTTGGTTGTATTTTCTGCTTCTCACAGTCCAAGTAATCCAAAACACATTCAGTCGAGGTCTGGGCTCTGGGGTGGTCAGTCCATTGTTGTGAGAACAGCAGCAACATCTTTGATTTGCAAATGATCTTCTTTGTTGTCTATTTCTTTTCTCAGTAACAGCTTCTTGACAGCTGCACATCCTTTCAGACCCAAAGCCTTGAGTTGTCCTCTCACAGTGGAAGGATGAACAGAAACACCCAGTGGATTTTTTCAGATCTGAAGCAAGAGTGGAGCTTGATTTTCTCCTTTCTCTCAAAGATAAAAGATTTTAGTATGTTTATCCGATGGGAACAGTTTTACTGGAGTCCCATTGTCTCTATCTTTAAATTAATTTTTGTACTCTAGTTTTGGAAACTCCCGTCTTTCATATTTTCCTTTGACTTTCCTCTTCCTTACACAAGTGGATTATCTTACATCTAATGTTTTCAGAAACATCTCGAAAAATCTATAACTTGTACTTAACACCCATTTTGACAGGAAATTGAATAACAGTTGGTCTCTGGCTTTTACACAGTACTGTATCTGCTCTTCACCATTCAGTCTTCTTTAAGTGCCACATTCATTGTTCAATCACCAATTCACAAACTACACAATCCACAGTTCACACATTCTGTGTGTTCAGCGACTGTGTGTGTTTTGAGTTTAAAGGAATATACGCAAACAAACATGCTAACAAGACTAAAGGTGAATGGAAGCTACCCCTAATTAGCGTGATGCCTTGTTTATGGGCCTACATGATTTCAATCACTTAGCAACCTTAGCATTTTGACTGAGCTATTCCTTTAAATGTATGCATTTGTTCCAGTCCTCTGCCAGCTACAAGGTAACTTTGTATAAAGCTCTCTTATTTTGAAGCACTGAGTTTCTTCCTTTTCTCTCAGATAAGTCATTCCTGGTGTGTGTGTGTCCTAGTGTGTATGTGTGTGTCACTAACCCTGACTGTCACCCCTCTGTATATCTGTCTAATTTATCAGTCTCTTGTAGATTGTCAGCAGCCTGCTGCCTCAGTACCGCCACTCTCCCCACAAATGAGGCGCGGCAGAGCGTCCACAGGCCGCAGGTAACCTGCCCTATGGAGGAACTCTTTATGTCTGTTAGCTACTGCTTCAGATCACAGCCGACACTGTAGACAGATTTCTTCTGTGCCAGATCTTTAAGCAATCATAACAGTGAAAAAACTGAAAAAGTAAAATGCAACACACAAATGATATTACTTTTTATTTCTCTTCAGGAAGTGTGTCAAACTGAAAAGCAAATCTTTCTCCCTAAAATTAGTTAGAAGGTTTTGCTTTTTAAAGGGGCCATATGCTACATTTTGTTTTTCAGTAAGGACTTCAAGTGATGACTGAAAAACAGGGACCACTTTATTTGAGGACTATACATTGGGGCTTCATAACACATGCATAAGCATTTAATAACACATTTACAAAGCAATACATGAACAGTTTATGTCAGAATTCACAAGATTACATAAAATCACACTACAGATTACATACACCATCAAACTAATTTATAGATATGCACACATCAGTTTTGTGAAATATGCCCACAAATTAAAATGATACAGGAAAATATGCGTGATACGTATTTATCACTTTAATTTGAGGATATCAGAATCTTTTATAGGGGCAGGACTCTGCCTTATTGAATTACTTGGGGATGATGCTTAAAGTCTTGTAAGTGGAAAAACTGTCCGTCACTTTAAGGGCTCTTATATCAACACAATGTCATTTACTTCATAAACAGCTTATGTCATCAGCGAAAACTGACATAAGCTGTTCATAAATACTCAAGTAGGGGTTTTTAAATACATTATTCAGTGGTTATGCATGTATCATGAGCTTTGCATGTAGGTAGCGTTCAGATTAAGTGCTACAGACAAATGTAATGGTTTGGCTTTTTAGGCTTGTTTGCTGCATGTCATTCAATAAAAGTAATGTAATTAGTATTTTGCATATTGCATTTTTCACTGTTCTAATTGCTTTAAGATCTATCACAGAATCTTCTCATGGAACTCATACCTCTCTGCATTTAAACCACAGTATTTTATCACCATTCACAGAATCTTTAAAAGTGGTATGTTTAGCTCAGGGCCATTAAATTTATGTTTGGTTTGGCGTGGGTCAGGCTTACTAACTTAGAAAATCAGTGTAGTCTCTCTCTCAATGGTCAGGACCCTGCTCTTGGTTAATATACAACAAGTACAGAGTGCTAACGCATCTTTGCTTTTCACCTTGCCCTGACTTGTCAAATACAGGAAACACATCCTGTGTTTAAAGTAACATGTTTATGTTACTAATTCTCAAAGTGGCTTGAGAATTTCTTTTGTCTTGGGTTCTTGTCTGTCAGTCTGAGAATTTGTCAGCGTAATAATGTACATGTTTACCATGTATGATGTCTTATGTGTTAATTATACTAGTACATTATGACAGATGTATCAATGTCAGTTTTGTTACAACACTTACTGAACTCATTTTAACAGGTAAGTCACTTGGTAGGAGGTGACATCACTGAAAAATCATTGTAACTTTGCTTTTTTCTTTCTCTCCCTTTAACTGACTGTCAACAGTCCTAATATTGTGATAACTTTTCAAGAGGACCAGCTACAAGAAGCCAGCCCCCGCATCCCCTGCGACCTTTTCAACTGTCTGGCACATGAATCTCATCTACCTGGCCCCTAGCCCTCCCACCATTATCCATGGCCCATCCCACTCGGACAAGAACAAAGACAAACCAGGGGATACATCTGTCAATCAAATGCCCATCCAATCAGGTGCTCCTCTTTCTGTGTGACCTCAGAAGGACCCGCCCTGTTTTGACTCTTTGGGGGGCCTGGACTAGGCTGCACTATTTTATTCTCCTAATGAAACTCCTGATGAAAAGAGAGAGAAATACTGCATATAATTGCCTGGAATAAAATATTTATCAGTTATTTATTATCTATTTATTTATGTTTCCTGTCTTATTTATTTGCAAAATCTTTGTGCGGAATCTTTTGTTCTTTGATATTACTTTTCATTTGAAACTTAAAGGTGCAGCTTTGCTGTGGATGTTACATTTGCCTTTTTAGAACTTAATAAACTCAGTAATCAAAATATTGGTTTTTATTCAAAACATTTAAAAAAAGGTTAAAAGCTACTACAAGGTTTGTTGAAATGTTTTGATATGATTTACCTGAAATCTTGACGTTTGCTTTAAAAACCTCCAAAAGCTGCACTGCGATTAGATTGTAACAGGCCAGGAGTGTGGTCAGAGTGGTCAAGAGTGGTCAGTAAAACATCATTGCTCGTGCAGTGGTCATAAATTATCTTTTGAAAATGGTTTTGACTTAGACAACAAGCCGAAGGACCTGATTGTTAAGTAGACCAGGACGACTGAGCTCAAAGTAATAACTGACTGTAATTCTTAACGTGTGTGAAAATATCTCCGTATGTCTTTCTCTGCAGTGGCTGAGTGACATTTGGTTTTGACCTTTTAAGTGTGAAACCTTCAGCGGTAATGTTTGCATAACAGTGATAATATTGTTGAGTTTGGTTTATTTGAATCTAACGTGGCTGTATATGGAGTTTATGTTATTTTTTTATATTCATTTTGCAATACATCCTCATAAAGACAATATTTTATACTTGAGTTCTCATTTTTATTTTTACTGTTGAGGTGGTGTTGGGTAGGAATCTGAGGGTTAATGCAGTTCTGGAACAGCTGAAGGGCAGACAGTGGCTGCTGGCCAGAGTGGGGCATGATCCTACTGTACTGGTGCACTGAGTTTTCTACATCTGCATCTGCTGATGTCACCCCAAAAACAAAGCTTTTGTGTTAAGTCTTCACCATAAAGTTATTATTGTGGATGTCCTGTCTCCTCCCTCTCTCTTCCCTCTCGCTGTCTCTCTCTCTTTCTCTCTCTCTCTCTCTCCCCACCTTGAATTAAGCACAAACACATTCATTTATATACCGTTTAGCCATAACATTAAAACCACCTCCTTGTTTCTGAGGTCTGAGAATGACCCACCACTCAAATAATACCTACTCTGTGGGGGTCCTTACCGTTGAAGAACAGGATAAAAGGGGGCTAACAAAGTATGCAGAGAAAAAGGACTACAGTCTGTAGTTGTAGAACTACAAACTGCTCCTGTATGGTAAGTGGGGCTAATAAAATGGACAATAAGTGTAGAAACAAGGAGGTGCTCTTAATGTTATGGCTGGTCAGTGTATTCTCTCATAGTAATTTTTTTTCTGGCCTTATTATATTGTTAAAAATACCAGCAGGACCATTTCAGATACTTCTGCACAAGACGCTAAAAATGAGAAGCAGCCAGCCAGTAAGAAAAGTGTTGAACTGCTGAACTTCTGTGTCTGTTGTGGAAGTGGAACAATGTTGAGTTTCTCTAATGACGCTCACAAAAGAGGTCATAGGATCAATGGTCTTATTCAGACACTTCTTTCAGTCTTACTGGTACATTTGGTACCAAATCTCCTAGTTTACATGGAAGGCTTTTTGATCGTTCTCTATGAGTTGATTGTCTTCCGCTTGAAATTTTGTGCTTGGTTGATGTGCATCTGAGGGGAATTGAAGTGATATGCACTGAATAGGACAATCATCCTCCTTGTTACTGGTGAAAGCATAGTTGTGACGACAAGACATAATGATTTGATTTTTCCTTTGTTTGTGTATGTATTCACTTATCAATCATGTCACAGTTTATGTCTTTGTTCATGAAATAAAATCGGAACCCAAGATTCACTTCTGCATGTTGTCAAAGACGTATACCAAAAGAAGATGAGTGTGATGTGGGTGAACAGTCGCTCTTTGTTCAAAATAGATCATGGATGTTTACTCAAGCCAGCCTTATCTGAAGAGTCAAAAGCCTTAGACTTAAGAATTGTAAAGAGACATATTAACCACAGAGCAAGGCTGCCCAGCCCTCGATCACCTCCAGTAAAGTGTGGAAGGTTACAGATAACAGTTGTAGTGTGAGAGTGTTTGATAGATAAGGAACTCTACACTTCAAGATTTACAACTGACCACTTAATCCCATGTTGAAAGCAGGTTTTACTCTCTAGATTTTAAACCAGTATTAAGTGATTACTATTCACAATCACAGGCAGTCACAATACCACTTTTATTATGGACTATATGATCTGATATTGTGTGTTGATGGTATTTTTAAATGTAGCAATAGTGGCACCAGTAAGTTAGTATACACAGGCTATTACATTCATCAGGCTTATAAATCTCAGCACATGAATTAACCGTGTGTCATTTGTGAAACATCTGACATGATATACTTTAATTTAGTAGAAGCAGGTGCTTAGCATGGAGATCCTTTAAAATAAAAGTCCCCACAAATTTTTCATGCTCAGCAAACGGTCCTTATAAATCAGGTGTCATCAGGGGTGCTTTAACCTGCTCGTGGGCCCTGGGGCTACAGGTGGTGGTGGGCCCTATGGGTCTACTTACACACAGCATCCAAAAACTTAAAACCTTTGTTTTTAATGAAGGCACACACACCCTGCCGCCAGCCAGCAACTCCAGCAATGCCATCCAATACTGCTTGAACTTAAACCCGGAACCAGACCACTATAAGTCTAATATGGTCATGGCTGGGAATTTGCACTGAGAAGGCAGCCCATTCCCAAGCTGAAATTTGCTTCATCAGGTTCTTTTTTGTATTTTCCATTCCGCCTTAAAGTGTGCCTGTGTTACACTCTGGCACCCATAAAAAAGGCCAGTCAGAGGCTCTGAATTACTCAGGGCTCTGTATTTAATTGCCCCTGGCTGTCACAGCTGATTCAATATCACTGAAGTTTGTAGACGTTCTCTAACTGAGAGGTGAAGAAATGTTCAGCCTTTGCTGAAATCCAGAGTCTTAGCTCCGCAAATCTTTATCTTTTTTTAGTGCACTTACAGTCCAGGCTTTTATTTGATTGCTCTTGGAGTTTGATATTGACCTCAAGGACAATGACTTGAGATGACTTTTGACTCTAAAGTGGACAAACATGTGGCCTGTCTCACTAAAATATTACCTTTAAAAAAACACACTGTTATTGGACAAAACGTACTAAATGTTTCCACAATTAGTGTTGTACTGTTAAAGGGGAGTTCCACCCATGTTTCAAAATTCTGGCAAAATGCCATCATTAGAATGGAAATAAAGTCATTAGGAGTGGTTTGGTGTGCGATGCACTGCTCTAGAGAAACAAGTCAGATTTGTTCACATTGGTGATAGGAACCAGACGTCCACCACTAAAAGCTTCTTCACAGGAAGTTATTACATGAAATGGTAATGAATACACTGCCTGATGTTTGAGACTTTGTTTCACGATAGCTTTGAGAAGGTTTGGAATTTTAAAAAGAAAATGCATTTTTCACCTTAGAAATGCATTTTTTCAGATTTATTAATTTACTGTCATCAACGTTATATATAAAAACTCAGAAGACATGTGTAGGCTCACTGGTGGTTTTGTACAGTGAATAAAATGTGTGTTGTAGGTATCATGACCCCTGGTTCCTATCACCACCACTGTAAAGAAATCTGAATCAGTATGTTTCTCTACACTAAACCACCACACATCAAACTGCTCTGAAAGACTTATACAGAATTTTAAAAAATTAATAGAATTCCCCTTTAAGAGACCTCAAAAGCTGTAACACAGACAGGGACCAGCGTCTACATATTTACAGAAGATAGATAGCAAATCGTGCATGTGAGTGGATTAGCTGCAGTCTCTGTGCAGCAGCAACGAGGACCTGCAAGGCAGGGGTCTCTGATAACACTGAGGGTATGCTGTAAATGAGAAGTAGTGGGAGCATACGACGGAAGTATATGACTTCAGGAAGGGTAAAACAGGAAGCCTATTTTTTTCTTAAGGTATGTTTTTTTTTATATTAATTATATATTTCTATTCACCGTTTCGTTGAGACTTTGCACACGACACCATGATTTAATAGACGTTAAGGATGAGTTACTTAAGAAACGCTTACGCAAAACGTTCTTGAAAATGTGACCCAGTTTATTTGCATCTGCTGTTCATGAATTGGGTTTATGCAAATTAGGTAAGTTAAAACGTTTTAACTCTTTTCTACTAGCGCCTTAGAAGGAAAGCACAAGTTTGAACCAATCGCTGCGTCCAAAGCTGTGAAGTGGACCAATGGGGGGAAAGGGGGCGGGGCCCAGAGCAGTCAAGGTGATCGCTGCAGTAATCGGATGAGCGGCTGAGAGCTGTGGGAAGTGGCAACAACTCTGGATCTGATTTAGCACAATAAGGGAAACTTTACAGCTTATACACCGAGTCGAGTGAGAGTAAACTTAACCTAAATCTCTTTAACACGACCGTGGAGACGAAGTTGATTCAAGAAATGGATTTTCTCCGTGTGATACAAGCTTCTGTATGAGTTCTGATTATTTCACTGCTGACAACCAAGCTGCGCTACTGGTTCACTCACCTAAGGGCTGCGAGTCTTTTCAATGGTGGAGAAATCTAAAGCAGGCATGGGTGAGTTTAGGAGGAATGCCTTCAGGAGGAAAGCTAAAACCAGTGAAGGAGTGGACGAACAGCATGAAGAACTGACAGGTGAGCTCGGTAAGTCGACTCTGTCGGTGAAGTGAATTGGACACAGAGGTTAAATGGAGAGTTTAGAACAAGTAAACTCAACTGTTGACCTGGAGGGTCAGAGTACGCAACATGCTTGTAATTTCTTTGCCCAAACACACCTGATTTTTTTTAATTCAGTAGGTGTGTTGGGGCAGGAAAGTCCCCACACTCTGCTACAATATCCAGTAAAAGAGATCATAGATCATTCAATCAATCAGGAATCGTTTTTGAATGTTTAAAACCTAAGTAAGGAAAATACTGTCCCAACCTGTATGACTCCATCTGTTG